CCCCCGCCTCAGCCTCCCAAAGTGTTGGGATTACAGGCATGAGCCACCGCTCCTGGTCTGTTTTTTCTTTCTTTAGAGATGCGGTCTTACTATGATGCCCAGGCTGGTCTTGAACTCTTGGCTGCAAGTGATCCTCTCACCTCAATAACTAAAAATAACTAAAACCCTACAGTATTTTTAATTAATTCAAAAAGAATTTATTAAGTAGATATTATGTGCCAGAATCTGTCATAAATGTTGGGAGTATAGTAAGTGAGATAGCATCCCTGCCTTTATGGAATTTGCTAGTGAAAGAGAAGGAAAAAATAAACATATATATACTATGAAGAAACACTTTAGAAAGGAAGGCATGAATAAGAACACCCAAACAAAAGTGGCATCTCTAATGAATAGTAAGATTTGTGTGGCTGGAGCACACGGGTGAAGCAGAGATCAGAGGAAGGCAGGGGCCAGTTGCATAGGGTCTTGAAGGTCATGATAAGGAATCTGAATTTTATATGAAATATAACAGGAAACCACTGATATGTTTTAAGCAAGGAGTGACGTAGGTAAGGAGTGATCTAATTTTACCATTTCTATAACAGTTTTATTGAAATCTAAGTCAAATGCCATAAAAAATTCACCCTTTTTAGTATACAATCCAGTGGTTTTTTAGTATATTGAGTTGTGCAAACATCATTATTTAATTTCAGAACATTCTCATTACCCCAAAAAGAAACCCTCTATTAGCCCACTGCCCAACTACAAATTTACTTTCTGTCTCTATGGATTTGCCTATTCTGGGCATTTCATGTAAAAGAACCCATACATGGCTGGGCATGGTGGCTCACACCTGTAATCCCAGCACTTTGGGAGGGTGAGGCAGGCGGATCACCTGAGGTTGGGAGTTCGAGACCAGCATGACCAACAAGGAGAAACCCTGTCTCTACAAAAAAATACGAAATTAGCCGGGTGTGGTGGCGCATGCCTGTAACCCCAGCTACTTGGGAGGCTGAGGCAGAAGAATCACTTAAACCCGAGAGGCAGAGGTTGCAGTGAACCGAGACTGCAGGTTCATGCCAAGCCAAGATCACACCATTGCACTCCAGCCTGAATGACAAGAGGAAAACTCCATCTCAAAAAAAAAAAAAAAAAAAAAAAAAAAGCCATACAATATATGGCCTTTGTGTCAACTTAGCATAATGTTTTCAATGTTCATCC